AGAACTCAAAAAGCGCGTTTTTTTAATGGGTCACATGCGGGAATCGTTGACGAAATCGGTGCAAGAATCTAGCAATAATAAAGGCAGACTCCTCGCAGTTGAAGTCATTGACTTTTACTTTATCAAGCGGACCTCGACCGCAGATAGCTCACAAGTTTTGCCGGTAACCTAGGTTGATTCGAAAACAGGGAAGGTTCACTGTCAAGCTCTCACATGCATTTCAAGCCCCACACTTTATACTGGTTTTCTTTTCGTCGTTGATTCTTTCACAGCAGCCGGGTAAGAAGGTATTTTCCCACCTCAGACTAGTGACTGAGTGCGTAGTACAACTTCTTCTTGGTACTATCCTCCCACCCCTCGGTGGAATCCCAGCTATCTCCCCTTCTTTGGTGTAAAATCATGGTCAGTGTAAGTTGTAGACCAGGGAGTATGGTGGTGCGCCTAGTTGCGGGTTTTCGCCAGCCAACTGCGTCCTCTCTCGCCTCCGGTCTTTTTGGCTCTGCCATGATATCCGCTGGTCCAAGTTGGGTGGGGGAATAGAAAGTGCGGTTGATGCTGTGCAAGTCGGGTATCACTGTAGACTAATTCACGTGCAGTTCGCCGTCCCCGCTATCACCCTAATGTGGAGCACAAGGTTGACATCGTCTACAACGACGATCGAAAGTGTTAAATTACTTAAACGCTTTCAATTACAGGGGTCGCTCAGCGATTCTGACAATGATGGCGATTAACTGCCTACGGTAGCCACAGTCCCACTATTACGTTAGGATTTAACTAAATTCCATGGATTGCGGAGAGACCTTCTGCCAGCAAAATGAAGATGGACGTGTGAGCACCATCAGACTGAATTACAACTGCAGGTGGCTAGGCATAAAGCGCATGCAGTCGGTCTCAACTCACCATACTCGTTGTAACCATTGCTGAGGCGCGGATCCTGTGACATTGCGTTCGCAGCTCCATACCAGGCGGAGGGGGTGGGAGGAGAGGAGGCAGCTGCGGCTGCGGCGGCCGATGAGGAGGAGGAGGTGGCGGCGGTGGCGGCGAACAAAGGGGACATCTGTCTGCTACCGCCTGCGGAGCCCACGTTCGCTAGGAAGGTGAAATCGCCCCCCAGGGTTGCTGCAGTATGCATACTTTCGGTACAGCTACAATGTGCAAGGGGAAGAACAGGCGGGGAGGGGAAGCCTGGATCATAAGAAATAATGGCGACTGTTAAAGCAGTGGGGTGAAGCGGCGACTGAGATTTTAAACAAGAAACGTGGGATACTAGGAACATCGAGAGAGGACTATGACAAAAAAGAATACTACGAGTATGATAAGTACGACATAGGAGGAGAAGGAGGAGACCGCGACGTAGGCGGAGAGGGGGAAGTACGATGTTGGAGAATAAAATGTTGATAAGAAAGATAAGGAGGGGGGAGAAGAGGAGAAAGAAATTACCTAGCTAAAACGAA